CCAGGAGCCTTCTACATACACACCTCAAAGTAAGTGAACTTTTCTACCATTTTTGTTGAATTTAGGCAATTTTCGGTGAGCTGGAACCAATTACCCAAAAACCCATTGAAACAATGGTTTCGGTTAACGAGCAACCTGCTGGAACGGATTGTGCTCGTTAACCGAGGGACCACTGTATTCGACAATTTCCAAATTTTTGGATTTGATTATTCGTTCAATTTCTGTTCAGCTTTTGTATCTTGCATTTTTTCTTTTTATGGGGAATTGCCCATCCGACACAGGTCAACGGCCCACAATGGGGCCTAAGGGGCAAAAAAATAAGAGTAACAAGAAATTAAAAATAGAAAAGAAAAAGATTATATTAATCTACACCACAAAGATGCCGGACAACCAGCTTTTTAAAGTGAGACAGATTGTATGAGCATGGAAACAAAGAAGAATGCAGAGCATTCCACAGTTTGGCTGTGTGAGGAAAGAAAGATGTACTATAACGGGTTATTCTAGCGTGACCTGCATCCACAGAGAAATGGTGGGCAGCCGCGGGCAAGGCGAGTGTTACGAGCCCACGGCTTTGCCAGTGTTACACAGGATGCCAAATCCACCGAACACTGCTCGTTTAAGTACCTGTAAAAGAGAGAGTGAAGCAACATTGCAGTAAAGAGAAAGGGAAGAAAGATTATCAACTAAAGGAGGAGAGTTAATAAGACAAATTGCTTATGAGTCCACCTTATCTAACAGTTGGACAGAAAAGAGCCACCCCAGATATGAGAGCAGTACTCCAAGTTAGAACAAATGAATCCTTTATAAACTTGAAGCACTTGCTCAGGAGTGAAGTAGCTACGGCATCTGTACAGCATTCCCAGCTTTCGGGAGGCAGCTTTAGCAATGTTGTGGATGTGTGGCTTCCATGACATATTAGAGGAAATGGTGAGGCTTAGCATGTCTATTTTGCATCCTGAAATGTGATTGGTGGGAGATCATCTAATTTGGAAAGTGTAATTGGTAAATACTACATTTTATTCTTGCTTTTATGCACCCTCTTCATAACGTATCCCCTGCGTAAGATGTGACACAATTGTACATGAATTTTCCAATTAACTGGTGTAGACCATCCATCTTGGTGAATGTGCGTAGGTTAAATGCACACGAGATGCAACACGACTGTATCCTGATATATGAAATTCGTTACATTTGGTTCTTTAGGTTTTTTGGCTTTTCTCTTTTGGTTAGGTGAGATTTAGTAAAAATTGATTTCTCTACAATATTTGGGATATTCTTGAGAAAAAGAAGAAGTTTTCTTCCATTGAAAAATTTCTAATGTTGCTCATTAACCTGCACATCTTTTGCAAAGTTTTAAAGGTAACTTTTTAAAGTTTTCGGTAATAATTAGGTTAGGAGGACAATAGGTTCAAAATCTGTAGAATTTAATCCTGAACTGATTTTCTTCTATGGTATTTCTTCTGAAAATTGATATTAATGGAGATATAAATATACAAGTACTGTAGGTAAAAAGACCATTCCTTTTCATGTGTTGGCAGCCCTTCAGCAAGACGCACGATTTGAATGATATAGAATGCGTACTACACTGATGGTGTAGGCATTCCCCATGGTATTGATTTCTAAATGGATACCCTACACTCCACGTTCTTGAATACGACCCTCTGTCTCAAAACACGCTGACAAACAGTCTCTGGTATCATACAAGAATATCATAGTTATATAGGCAAACACAGTGGACAGTATTACATGTTCTACAACCATAACTCATTTTTCAATGTCAATTTGATAAAAAGAATTACTGTTACCTTTAAATCATATTTTGACTTTGTCTCTGCATCCAGCTCTTGATTAAGGGATAGCCACCCAGAGTATGGATCAAGTGTGAAGAGAGGTTCCTCTACAAGTGGTGATTGCTCTTCCAAGATGTAGCGGATCTCAGAGTTGCTCCCTGCATCACGGTCATGTGCAAAAACTGTAAGATATGTTAGGAACAAGTTTTGTCAGTAAATATGCAGTAAATATGCAGTAAATAAATAAATAAATAAATAAAATAGATGTGGTTTTGTTCCAGTGCCTTAATTATAGAAATTAATATTTCAAGACAGTGGAAAACTGTATTTAGAAGGTCAGTTACAATGTTGGAATTATGCAAATAATTACAGAGCCATTTGCATGAAAGAAACTTTGAAGTTGTGAATAGCTTACAAGGGGATAAAATGTGATAGATTATATGGAGGCAAAACATACAAGAACTATTTGAAATGTACCTGTACAGGTATGGTAGTCAAATTTTTTTATCCAATACAGGAAGATGATGCAATACAATACTGAGTAATCAATATGCAAAGATGGGGAGGAGTTTTAAGATAATAAAACTATAAGGATAAGATGCTTTAGAAATGAAAGTGAGAAAGTTTAATGACTTTGAGAACTAAACATGAGTTCAGAAAAAAAATATTGTCATTAAAATATTGTGTACAAAATACAAAAGGCATAGTAAGAATAATGCATACATTGGATTATGTCAATATTGACAGAAAACTGAAAATATAATACTAAAGTGAAAAGAGGCCAAATGAAACAAAATATTCAACAATGATGCTGTACTGTAGAATAAGAGTTTTTTATATGGTACAGGGTTAAGCAATAGTACAGTACACCCGGATAATTTGCAGATTTTTATTTCGTGGTCCTCTATTATTCGCGGATGACACCCTGATGTACCCAAGAATGTCTTTGGGTAGTTTTAAAGTTGCTGGCATTTTTGCGGCTGGGACAGGGAGCCATTCGCTCTAAAGACAGTAATTTCCTTTATCTGTATTGTATATATGTGTGTGTGTGTGTGTGTGTGTACACACACACACACACACACACACACACATACATATAAATAAGAATAAAAAATCTTCTCATAAATAATCAGAAGCAAATGAAGTATTAAAAATGCTGAGTTTACCCTCAAGTCCACTCAGTGTTTCATTAAGAACAATGCACGCACCACATCCCCCACCACACGTGCACAATCACAACTCTCCCACATACACAACAACCACAGTACACTCACCACAACCACAATATATACACAAACACAACCAAAATACACACACACACACAACCACAATATATACATACACAGTAAAACTGCCTCTGAGGGCAGGAAAAGCTCCCTGACCGAACCACATCCAAACAACTCATTTTACACCTTACTTACACCCAAACCTCTTCTCTCTTGGTAACATTTCTCAAAATAGTTTGTATTGCTACACCAAAATTTGTGTTTTTTATGTGCTGCATGGACAGAGAACAACTAGTCTGTATTGCATTTACTTTCACTTCTTATCAGTTTCGAGAGAAAAAATTAGGGTGTCGCTAGTAGAGTGACCTAAATTTCCCCAGAGATAGCCATAAGTTCAAATTTTACCAGTCATGAATTTCCCAGTACAGAAATGCAATTCCATTTTTTCCCTAAGATGAAGGTCTAAAAGTTACATGGCTAAATTGTGTCAAATATAGTGGGGGGTTTATTGTACATAGATACAAGTAACACATACCTTTGACAACATTTGACCCAGAAGGTGTGTTCTCGGCTACAGATACATAGTACTTCTCACTCTCAAATGCTGGGGATTCATCATTTACATCTTGAACCTGAGAAATGATATTCATATTAGTATCAAGAATAACATGAAGATAATAAGATAAAGGAATAATTCAAATTTTTGGCTGACATTCATCCTCAAAGATAAATTAGTAAATAAAAACATATATATTACATATGAATTAAGAAACATTTGCATTTGAATACAGTAAACAAAAAAAACAAGGCATGTGTTTAAATATCCACAAAGACATATATATTGCCTGAAGACACACAAACATCAACTCCCACCCATACATACAAGCACTGTAGACAGGAGTGTGAAAAGATATAGGGAAACAAATATGTACAATAGTTGTCTAATTTGGTATACGTAATATCATATTCATCTTTTACTCTGACCTTATAGCAAAACCCTCAAAGTAAAGAAAGGCTAAATTTGATTGATTGATTGATTGTGGTAATTACATCCCTGGCGATGCAACAGCTTAGATCATTTGACGCCGAATTAAAATAAAGGTTTAAAAGACTAATATCAAATAATGCAAGGTAAAAAAGATAAGTAAGAAATAAGATAAAACTTTCATAAAAACATTTAAATGTTAATGGATCAAACTCAAAGCTTATGTAGAAAGCTGGCTTCCTCCATGAGGGAGAGGATATCCCCTACCACACTACACACTCCAATTATTCAGAAATATATCTTACTTCAATAACCACATTGGTACTTGATGCCAACTCAGGCTTGTCTGTAGGTAGGGCAGTGACAATGAGTGATAGTCGGTGAATATCTTCATGGTCAAGCAAAGATGTGAGGGTCAAAGTGCCCTGCGATGATACAGACACTGGCGGAGAAGTTTCATGACCTCCCCACTCGACTGAATATTCTAATTCACCATCATAACGTGCACCCACTGATCCAATTCGTGTGCCTGGAATTACAATACATATTTTGAGTATATATATATATATATATATATATATATATATATATATATATATATATATATATATATATATATATATATATATATATATATATATAATTATAATTAGTATTACTATTATATTTTCGCCCACCAGGTCGATGTGGGTCAGTGATCTATGCCTGGGTGGCTAATCCTGTTAAAAAAAAAAAAAAAAAATGCTCCACAAAAAAACTTTCGGTTTTCGGATAAAGGGTTGTCAACCTCTATACAGTTGTACCCCACTTAACGCGGTCAATAAAACCCACAGGGTACCATGTTAAGTGAAAACCACCTTAAGTGAACAACAGAACATATGGGATTAATTCCAATAGAAACTGGCCCATCCCCAAACTCCACTTTTTCCGACACAATACCTATGTTCTAGTAAAAATAACATCTTAATTTTATGATGGTACATGCACACAATTAATACTTAAGAGAAATAGAGAAATACAGTCGCCAAGTTAATGTCCATTCAAATAATGGACTCGACTCCCTCCCCCTCTTCTCACACTACACTCGCTGGCTCTTCCCTCTGAGAAATTTTGGGGGGAAAACCAGGTATAGTAATAAATAATTCCTCAAACTAAAGTTAGGATAATATAATTGACATTGCTGGATTCCTTGTAAGACCAGGAATATTTTGAATACAAATGTCATATATTTTTCACAAAAGATAACATATTTACTCAGAATAAACTTTACATCTAAAATTTGTATGTCTAATGCAAAATCTATGATGTTTATATTCAAAATGATCACCAAATTGTAAGAATTCCAGCAATGTAAATTATATTCTGGCCGGATAATTTGTATGAATTTTATGAGCTAAAACAAATATCTTCAGTTAATAAAAAAAAAAAATATTCTTCACGACACTATCTGTCAATCAAAGTACCCCACCTTGCCTCCCCCCCTCTTCCAACCGCGCGGTCAGTCCCAACCCTCCCCCCCACCCCCCACCAATCCTCCCTTCAGAGTTTTTAACATTTAGTATTAAATAATACCTCAGATTAAAGTTAGGATAATATAATTGACATTGCTGGATTCCTTGTAAGACCAGGAATATTTTGAATATAAATGTCATATATTTTGCACAAAAGATAACATATTTACTCAGAGTAAACATTATATCTAAAATTTGTATGTCTAATGCAAAATCTATGATGTTTATATTCAAAATGATCATCAAATTGTAAGAATTCCAGCAATGTAAATTATATTCTGGCCGGATAATTTGTATGAATTTTATGAGCTAAATAAAAAAATTATACTTCACCCGTGTAAAGGGGTACACCCACTGTGGAATGTGAGCATCCTGGGTTCTGGCAGGGCACCGTGTAAACGTGGAAATGCGGAATGTGGGACCGCATAAAGTGAGGGTTGACTGTATATATATATTATAGGTTTCAAAAAAGTTAGTTTTGATGCAGGTTTCTAAGAACTGTAATGTAGACTAATAAAGATATAGGGTGTTAATCTGATAACTTTTGCAAAATTGTTTTGTACAGCACATTCTTTCTTTACTTAAATATAATTTAAAGATTCCAAATAAGATTCTGCATGTTTACTAACCTGGCGGTGTATCCTCTGCAACTGTGAGGGTATATATTTGTGACAGAAACTCGGGAGGTCTGACATCAACATCCACAATGCGCAACAAAACTGCGACATTTGAATGAAGGCTTGGTCTTCCTTCATCTCTGCTCTCAATAAAGAACTCAAAGACAGAGCTCCCTGTAATTGAAGAAGAATAGATTTTTCTTAGTTTATCATGTATACAGGTATCCTATGTTATATGAATAGGTTAGGTTCCTGAAAAACATTTATTAAGTGTATTTCTGTATTGCAAATAAAAGAAAGTGAACTGCAATGGGCTTATTGGCCCATACTAGGAAGCCCCTATCACTCATATATCTGTCCAATTTATATTGAAGCTACCCAGCATGTTCGAGTTAATGATATTGTTCGGCAACTATCCACTTGTCCACTACTCTATTTCCAAACCAGTGTTTACCTACCTAGTGCTTAAATCTAAATTTGTCTAATTTAAAACTATTGCTATGAGTTCACTCCCAGTTGGATAGTTTAAGTACAGTACCTTTGTTATATCTCCTTTGATTAACCCTAACTTACATTTATAAACCTCGATCATATCGCCCCTCACTCTAAGTCTTTTGAAGGAGTGCAAATTCATATGCTTTAATCTGCCTCTATACTGAAAGTTCCTAATGTCTGGGATTAGTCTTGTCATCCTCCTCTAAATGCTTTCTAAGGATTCAATATCCATCTGTAGTATGGTGACCAAAACTGAACTGCTTAATCCAAGTGAAGTCTCACACGCCCAAGATACAGTTTTAGGATAACCTCGCTCACCTTGTAACCAACATTCCTATTTGTATGAAACCAAGTACTGTACTTTGTTAGCCTTGTTTTGAGCAAATACAGTGTTGACTTGGTTTAAGATTCCTACTTATCATTACCCCTAAATCTTTCTCACAGTCGGATTTTTTACTTCAACATTGTTCATCTGATATCGGGTATCTCTGTTTACATCTCCTAAGCGAAGTACAGTACTTTACATTTTTCCACATTAAATTTCATCTGCCATTTTTCAGACCATGCAAATTTTTTTTTTTAGATCTTCCTATGGTTTTGTGTTGTTCTCATCAGATTTAATTACATGCCCTTTATCTATGTCATTTATGTATATAATAAATAGTAATGATCCAAGTAACGAGCCTTGGGATATTCCGCAAGTGATGTTTCCCCAATTGCCATTAATGCCGACTCTCTGTTTCCTCTCCTGTAACTACGCCCTCATCCAGTTAAGAATATAGAGCCATCATGTATCAATTAATTTTAAAATAGAAATTAGATATTAAAATGTTATAAGAAAATGGTTTAGTAGTATTTTATTCAGTGATATAGCTACAGTACTGCCTATCCAGTATTATTTCATAGACAATTTAATGCTAAAGATATTTTTTCCGGTATAAAAAAATACTAAAAACAAAGGAAATTCATAATTTGATGATGGGGGAGAACTATAAAATTAAGCTGGTCTTTGCAAACAACTGCTACATGCAATATCTTTACTAGACTGCTATGAGTAATATTTTTTTTATTTTTTAAGAAATTATATATTTCTCATAAATAGAACAGATGTACAGTCACTCTCAAAGGTATATTTACAGAGTGGTCCGATGAATTTCAAAATGAATACCGTGGCTCCTGTTGTCTCAGTAGGGTTGTTAAAATCCTCCGTCGGTTGTGTCATATTGTCTCAGACAAAATCGCAAAGATACCTTTTAGACTGACTGTTCACATATTTTACTTACCCAAATCATGCGCATTTCTTTTCAAAGATATTTCTCCAGTTCTTGAATTAATAGAAAAAGCATCCATTGTGTCTGGTAAGGCTGAGCTATGAAAATTGTAAGATACTGTGCCATTTTCACCTTTATCTGCATCCACAGCAAACACCTGATATAAGCAAACAAGTGCACTATAAAGTTAACCCTGCTGATGAAATAAAATAGACACAAAATTATTAATTATTCATTGTATTTCACTTTACACAGGCAAGTCACCACAGCTTACTTAACAATAATAAAAAAAAAAAATTCTTTTACAACATCTTTAATTCTAGTCCCACCTACAAGAAATTCATTAAATGAACAAGTCTCAATAGCATTCACATACATCATGAACTTACTACTTATGACTAAAACCAACTGATCATGAAGACAATCGCATTCACCTTTATGAATTGGGCTTATATTTGCACCAAATCTAAGATTACAAAACATTTTTTTTTAAATTTCAAGGTAAAGGATCACTACATTTTCCCTATTCATATACACAAGTGAAAATCATATATTCTTTTAACCTATCTTTAATTAACCAAAGTTATTCTCCTCGTGCATTTAATATGAAACTATTTTAACATGTTACAATAAAAGTGACAATATGATCGATGGAAACTTACCTTTAAGACAACAGATCCAGAGGTGGTGTTGGACCTGATAATTGCTTTGTAATTAGTCTGCATGAAAACAGGCTTATTGTCATTTACATCATTAACAGTAATGTGAAGCGTAGTGAAGCCAGTGCGCCCACCTATATCCATTGCCATCACTGTAAAGGCATATTCAGCACGCTCCTCACGATCAAACACTTCTGAAGTCCACACATCACCTTTAGGCAAAAACGATGATAAGGATTTGTTAATGAAATACCTGACAAACACATCTTAAATAACAAATGTAATTTAGTTTCAATTAACATACCTTGAACTTGCCTTAAGAAAAAGGACAATGTTAATAGAATAGAGCGCACATTATACCTGTATATACAGCACGCATGCACGCACACACACTACAATCCTGACCTGGGGGAAACCCACACATGCCCTACAGCACTGACCTCCTGGGGGACACAAACATGCCCTACTGAGATGCCTATACAACTATGAAATATAGCATGGGTTATAGAATAAATTGTGATCATCAGAAAGCCCTGCCCACCTTGAACACGTAATATTATTGGCAATTTTATCGGTAAGACTTAATATATAAGTAGATACCTGTATTGGCAAGTTCTAAATATTTGCCATGAATTGTTTTTAAATCTTACCTGTATTTTCATTTATTCTGAAGAACTTTTGAGCATCATCACCTATAAAGTGGTATGTTACATCACCATAACGTCCAGAATCCACATCTCTGGCAGACACTTGAGCAACAGTAGTTTTTACAGCAGAATTTTCCTGAATGTGGGCATCATATTGTGCAACTTTGAATGTTGGCGAGTGAGCATTAACTGGAGTGATGGACACCACCAGACGTGTGTAAGCCGTGAAGACACCATCACTCACCGACACATTCAATATGTGCTGATTATTCTCACGAAGCTTTTGGCTGTTCCATACAGTTACGATTCCTGCAAAGTAAGTAATGACAATTTAATGTTAATCAGAAAAATATTATAATAACTCCTTCTAATAAAAAATACCCACTTTCTTGAAAAAACACCACTGAACAATGAGAGGGCAATCATGCGAGATCTTGTACCAAGAATACCTAAACAAAATATATACCGGCAGTACGGCAAAATTCCATTAATCATGGTTATTCACCATAAGTAAGTAGTTTAAAGACACACATCAACCTCTCACACACAACTACCACAGAACCACCTGGACACAATTTGGTGAGTTTCATTATTGTGTACTGTACAGTACATCACTTTTGTAATTCAACCAACTCCAAGACAGTGGATCAACCTCAAAAATAAGAAGTACAGTACTGTGCTGTATCTGTAAGTAAAATATCCAGAGAAAATATTTGTTCACTGTGAAACATTACGAGACCACCGATGGTAGATATTGGGATATGAGCATTCCAGCCCTGTATAGTTTAATGTAAATGTATGCGCCTACTACAATACACGTACACCTATATCTCGACTCACGGATCTTGAATCTTCTCTTTATGATGTCATCTGGCTCAAAATATCTAACAATCATGACTATTTTTCTTTGTTTCCTATACTGTTCTCCAAACTCTACCAACTATTTGGAACTCTTTGACTATCTTTCTTCTTGCCATGAGTCGTTGCTATCCACACACCCCAACACCGAGATCCTCTACCTAGGAGATTTCAATGTACATCACAGAGTGGCTTGGCCCAGCAAGGGATGACCCAGGTGGAGCTTAGGCACTCTCTTTTTCCTTACTTAAACCATAAAAGGTCACATTATTATACATACATAGTACGCCCCCTGGTCGGAAAAAATAAAATTTTTGTTCAATGCCCAAACACCCCAAAATAACATAAGAAAACAAGAAATATCAGTGAAAGTGGAAACTTGGCTCTTTTACATGTGCTGTGTGTAATTTAAATCCTGGGCTGGTGCAGTATTGCCAAGCCTACTCCCTCCCAGTGCTGTTACAGTACTTCCTGTCGGTCTTGCAGCCATGTACATATACGTATTCATAATTTGTTTTTTTATGCAAAAAATAATAATAATAATATGAATGTAGCACCAAAGCAAATGAAACTTAAAAAACACTTATGAAATGAACATGATGGTTTTATTACAAGTGGCAACGCTGCACACTCAAGGTCAGGGGAGGTATTTTCCGTCCCTCTCGGTTTATTTTCATTATCACCTTCAATATCACTATCAATACATGCCTTTCTGTCAATACCATGTTCACCTTCACCCCTACCAAATAATTCAGAGTATATCTCATCTTGATTGAGTGACTGGTTACGTTCACATGCCATGGCTATTGAGAAACTACTGTGTAGTCCCACAGCTTTGACTGTGGGGCTCGCAAGGCCAAGTGGTGGGAAATGTTTACACAAGATGCCAGACACCACCAGCCAACAGATTATGGTTGCTAGACTTGGTTTCAAAGGCGTGGGAAAAGTTTATTTGAAAAACGTTCTAGTACGTAAATGACGAGAGATAGTAACATTGGTGATCAAGTACTTGAATGTTAATGACCAATTACGGGTTAATGATCTGTAATAAATAATTAAACACCCTACACGTGTTCCAGTTCGACACGATCAACTTGCTAACATTCTTGATCGCTGTTTTCTTTCGATGTGAGCGTATTAACGAAATTAATCTCAATTTAGCGAACTAGTTCACTAAATCAAGCGAAAAATAAAGGAAAAAATTCCTTTCGCTAAATCGAGAGTTTGTTATAGTGAATTCCGTTAAATTGAGAGTATACTGTATCACTATAATATTACCAAACACAGTAAGGGAATCAAAGAAAAACAAGCAAAGTAATATACCTGGTCTCCCTCACTCCCAACACCACTTAACTTATTAGTTGTTTGGGTGGTTGGTCTGTTTTTGGTTACTGTGTTTCAACTTTACTGCTCGGTGTTAGTAAAGAAGGAAACAGGAGTAACAAAAAAACCCTGTAATGTTTGATACAGTCACACTGAATAACATCCTTCCCATGTCTGTCAAGGGTCAGGACTCCAATCCAGGACACAGCTGCGAGAGATATGCAAGTTACCACTGTACCACCAACTAATTATCAATGTACAGTACTGTACGTACATACCAAAACCAATGAAGAGAGATCATGTTCATTACCTGAAGCAGAGTTTATGGCAAACACCTGCAGTTCATTGCCATCAACAACTGAGTATGTGAGCTTGTTAACATCACTAATATCCTCATCAGACGCAGACACAAGGGTAACAAAGTGGCCACGGGAAGCATCTTCAGTCACCACACAGCGTTGGGCTTGCTGTTCAAATACTGGTGGGTTGTCATTCATGTCCAAAACTGAAAAACAAAATATCACATTAAACAAACTTGTTACAATACCTACCAGTGTTTTTTTATCTCTATTGTATTTATTTAGTAATTTTCTGCATCTAAAGAGTTATAAAACCAAAGTGCAATGATTTTTTATCATTGTTATGGTAAAATTCTTATAAAATAGCTTTTTCTGATATCTTCATTTTACTGTTATTCCTTATACGGTAATTACATTTGATTCTACAAAGTTTTTCCTCATGACCTGTGCAATCTTGTCACTATGGCTCCAGCTTTTCTTAAATTTGGGTAAGAATATTTTTCTCTATCAATACCCGATATGAAATACCATACAAGACGCACCCCCCATTTTAGCAGGAAGTATTTAGGAAAGAGCTTTTGTGATTTAATCACTGCCAACCCAGCAGAGACAGCAACGGGGGTATTTAGTTTGCAGGAGACCACAACTTAAGGCAGATTTTTGTTGCCATTTTTCAGACAAAAAAGTGCATCTTATATGCCATAAAATACAGTACTGTACTACAAATTGTGTGAATAACAACATGAAATTGTTGAATTTTCTTTAACTTGCTATGCTCATTAAGTAGCTATCAGTTATAATTTAAAATAACATTCAGTGTGGTAAGAAGGAAGTGAAAAACAAATGTATTCTGAATAGATACCCATCAACATACCTGTAACCAATATATGTGCTGTAGATGATAATGGTGGTGTTCCCTTGTCTATGGCTTGAACCAGGAAATGGTGTACTGGAGCAGTTTCCCGGTCCAATCCTTGCTTCAGTATCAAGATTCCAGAGTCTCCCTCCATATAAAAGTTCTTGGGTAAAGTTCCATTCAGTCCCATTAACCTGTAACTCACTCCTGCATTTGGTCCTGTATCTTGATCTGAGGAAGAAACTGTCAGAATTGGAGTTGCAATAGCTGTAGCCTCAGACACAGTGACATTATAGAAGTGTTGTAGAAATTCTGGTGGATTGTCATTCACATCAATGACTTGCACTGAGACGACAACTTCTGCCCACTTGCCCGAGTAACTATCTGTTGCCCTCACAGTAAGCTGATAGGAATTTCGAGTTTCAAAATCAAGTCCATCTTGGACTCGTATCAGACCTGAAAAAGTTATTGTAGATACAGTATACATAATGTAGTTTGTACAATTTTACTATTTAACTCATCATAAATACAGTATATGATTTCCATAAATACTTTTACATTAGAGTAAGAAAAGAAAGAAATATTAATACTATCACACATACCCTCTTCATGCTCCATAGCAAATGTCTGATGTTCATTCCCACCAACAATGGTGTAAATAAGTTTTCGATTCAGCTGACTGTGAGCCGTAACTGTTACAATGGGTGTGTGGGAATCTGCATTTTCAGCAACTGTGGCACTGTAGAACTGTCTATCAAATATTGGCTGTGACCTATCGACCACTTTCAGTCGAACAGGGATTTGCGAGGATAAGGGTGTAGAACCTGGAATAGAAAGTGTAATAAACATTTAACTTGATATCTGTATATGAAACTAATACCACGAATGTCCATTACAAATATTTCAGCACCTTTTTTGTGTTACAAACTCTCAAAATTCTTTTGTCACTCACCTACCTATTTAATGAAACATACAGTAATAAAAACATTTAGTGTTTCTGTAAGAAATGAAACATTAAAGATAAATTCAATGTCTTTACACTAAAGGCAATGAGGATACATGCTAGCAGCAATGATATGTAATAAAAACAATCAGCGAAGAATAAAGTAAACAATTCTTAGGACACCATTTTTCTCACTTCAACACTAATTCCATCATATTAAAACTTTTCAACAAATGGTACATGTTTACTATAAACAATGCATTGTCAACCATTCATAATGTCTTGACAGTAACCGAGTTCGAACACGTGATATGGCCGCCATGTCCACGTAATCAGCTGGTGAATATTCAGAAAAATTTTCTATACAAATTGGAGAGTTAGATTGTATCTATGTACAGCATTGTTCAGCAGTCTACATCGTGCTATGAGGTGGGAAATCGCCCTCGGATCTCTGTGGGAGGGTCGATTATGTTGGCCCTCCAGATTCGTAGCAAGATACGAGCCAGCATTGCTGGCAAGCGGAGTTTGACGACGACCCAATCGGGTTATCGTCAAGACGCAATACTGTACTGAGAGACGAATCAGCTTGGCTGACAGCAGACAAACATTCGGGTTGGGCAGCAAGAGGTGACCTCCTGGCCCAAATGGTAAGACCGAGGTTAGAAGACCGAGCAAAGAACGATTAAAATAAGACCCAAGCAGTATAAAATTAACAACGTTACGGTCATAATGACCATAATAGTTGACGACTGGAAAATTTAATCAACAACAGCAGCATTGTTCTCAATATTGAAATCTCTCAAGGTACTTGACACAAATTTTCCCTTCCATCTCAGACTACAGTATTGCATTAGATTCTGAAACTAGGTTGGACTCGGACTCATCCTCCTATCTTGAGACTAAATTGACCTCAGACCTAGGTTGGGTGCCAGCCTACTTGGAAAACCGGCATTTTCGAACTGTCTTTTCCCCCCAATTAGTCTGAGTTGGCGAGGGTTTAACGTATTAAATGTGGCAGTGACAGAGAAAATTTACCTAACTGTAATGCTGTATAAAATAATGAAAAATAAAAAAATTTAACTTCCCAAATTTTCTAGTAAATTTTAAAGTGAGGAAGTGTACAGGCATCCCCAAGGTTATGGAAGGGTTCCGTTCCTAAAAATTTTTCCGTATCACGAAATTCCGTAACACGAAACCACTTTTTCCCATTGACTTCCATTATATAATTTAAGATAAGATCCCAAGAAAATTTTTCAGCCAAAAAAGTAACACAAACACATATATGATTGAAATTAAACAGTTTTAAACACATACAATGATTCATTCATGATGTAAGATGACAATAAATGAATACACTTGAATTTAACTCGCCAGAAACGATGTTGAGTGCTGCATGAGTTGGGGAGGTGAAGTGGGGCAATCGGAGTTATATCCTTAAAACATCAAGTTTAATGTCCAATGTAATTCTTTAATGGAATCTTCTAGTGCCATTGCTTTCACTTGAGCAGGATGGCCTTTTTCCACTCAGCTTGAATAAAGGTACACAGTAACAAAGATGCAAAACTGAACCCAAGCTGAGGAATGAATTCAAACTGAGCAGCAACATTTTTGTTGTGCTAAGTAGGTGTGCAATTTTAAAGTTTGAACATTGTTAAAATATACCAAAATTCCATAAGGGCAAATTTTTGGGCTGCATCCCAAATTTTTGGGTCCTAATTTCAAAATTCCGTAAGAGCGAATTTCCATAACCCGGGTTTCCATAACGCAGGGGTTGCCTGTACAGGTATTTGGTTTTACCCTTAGTGTATTGGAAAAATAAATTATATTTGGGGATTATGATATTTTTCATGTTTAAAGATGATACAGTAGTTTATCCCCAAGATCCAGGGATTACAACCTCTTGAAAATTTGCAAATAAAAGAGGTCAGGGGTCATCAATGAGGAGCTGACATACATTTACCAACTCAGTAATTATTGAGTGAAAAAACACTTTCTTTGGCAATAATATAAATGGAGACAAAATTAATAGAAAAAAGTGACACAACAAGTATACCAAAAAGAAAGTTATCAAATCTTACCCCCATCATATGCACTTATGATCAGCTCATATTCACTTTTGAGGCCCTCCAGCGTTTGTTTCAGACTTATTTCACCTGTTGAACGACTCACAGCAAATACTTCTCCATTCCCTCGCTGTAGTTCATAGCGGACATCACGATTTTCATCAGCATCAAAATCAGTAGCATGAACCTAAAGTAATTAATGAGCTGTAAATACTTGTTCTTCAGAATTTAAATTCCTAATAGTTCTATCAAACCTCAAATTATAAAAATGATCACAGCAGTAAACTGTAGCATATGAGAATCAAAATAAATCTTAAAATAAAAAAAAAAATAAAAAGTACAATTCTTGCTAATAAACATGTTACAATCTATAGAACAACAACAACAAAAACTGACATATGATCTAAATCAGGTTTAACATTTTGATGTAAGTACAGTACAGTACTGTATATCAGTTCAAAGAGAAAAGTACGTTTTTATCATTTACTCACCCTAAAAACTACTTGATGCTTCTTTGCATCAACAGAAATAACTCCATAGTAGGGTGTGTTAACAAAGATGGGAGCATTGTCATTCTTGTCTGTGACCACAACATGCACCTGGACATGAGCCACACGAGCTGGGGTGGTATGAACTACACTGCGTACCTGTACAAGAAAAAGATATTCAAATAGATTAGAATTAAAACAAAAATCCTTTTCTGTATAGCTAATATTTGTTTTTTATCACAGGGGAATCTTATTGTTTCTGGCAACAGTACAAACCTTTATTTATCATATTTCATAAATTCAAAGCATTTTGTGCTAGTGGCTGGATGGGTAATGATTCCCTTATTTTTAAGATTCTGTAACTAATTAATTACTGCACCAACTTTGTGGTAGGATACAATTCACAGAAAGGGTTAATCTCCCACCAGCAATTCAGCAAAGATTCTAGTGTTGACTCCTATTATTACTGTATATGAGAGAACCTTGTCCACTCTGGTCAGGAATCAAACCTAAGATTCCTAACCTGCAAGACATCAGCTCTACCACTCACCTATTTTACAATACTATTTTAATTATTAAAAGCTCTTTCTTACTATGGTACTGCACAGGTGAAAGACAGACCTCATTCTTCATCATTTATTGTGGCTGTTATAACAGATGTAAAGTACTCAGGTATGATTAACTTTTACAACCTTTGTTTCATACAGCTTAGCATCATGTAGTAGCAAAATGCACAACCCTCTAACCAGTTAACATATTGCCTTCTAATCATGTCAGCACTTTACTTTTATTGGAAAAAAAAAAAATATATATATATATATATATATATATATATATATATATATATATATATATATATATATATATATATATATATATATATATATATATATATATATATATATATATATATACTGTATATATATACAGTACTCCCTCTTTATCGACGGGGGTTACGTTCTGTAAACGGCCTTCGATAAAGAAACCGTCGATACCGTGATGGTTACGTAATTTTTCTAACTATTATTAGCATATGTTGAATAAATGTACCTTTAAGCATTAATGCATTTCCTTTACACATAACCTTAAATAATAGTGTATAAATAATAATATAGTAAGTGGACAAAAATACTAGCAAACTTACGATTTCATTTATTGAAGTGAACATCGGTCCTTACAGTAAACAAAACAGTGTACAGTATAGTAAAAGTCCAAAAATCCGGATGCCCAAGGCAAATTGTTTACCATTTATTA